TAATTATTTTTATATTTTATATTAATGTATTTTAATTTGATTGTTTTTAAATTACTTCGTATCATTTCCCTGATAAATTGAGGGATACAATCAATAAAACTAATGTTTACCGTATAATCCTTCTCTAATTACAAATATAAATATTTATTACTTACTTAGTAAATAATTTACAACATTTAATATTAATATTACATAGATTTTATAATATATAATATATAATATATTTAGTAAATATTGAGTTTTGTTTAAGTATATTTGATTCAGTCAGAAGTTTATATAAATTATATATTCTATAATAAAGTAAATTTTCATTTTTTAAAATGTAAGAATTAACAATAAACAAATAATTTATTGTTTAGTGTTTTTGATTGAAAAAATTATTGTTTTGAGTTAATTTATATAATCAATTCAATATATCATATAATTAATCTGTATGATACATGCAAATCAAACATTTTACAGTTACTGTTATAATTTGATAATCATTTTCTACACTAAGTTATACACATCAGACACCATTCAATGGTTTAATACTGATATTCTTGACTCTTATTGTGAAGCAAATGGTGGTTCAAAAGGATAGTTGGGGTTATTCCTTGCGTTTTCAAACTTAGTTATCCTATAATTCTTATTCAATGCAAATATGGTTCTCATCTCTTCGTCACTCAATTGAAAATCAAAAATATTAAAGTTTTCAATCAGTCTCTCCTTTTTGGTGGTCTTCGGGATGACAATGATATTCCTCTGCACTAACCATCGCATTATCACCTGAGGGACAGTCTTTCCGTGTTTCGTGGCCATGGCTTTGAGCACCGGCTCATTAAACAGTGTTTGGTTTGCTTTAGCGATGGGACTGTAGGCCACGACCACTATATTATTCTCATGACAATAGTTGACTAACGCTTCTTGTGTTAGGTAGGGGTGGATCTCAACCTACAAAATAAATCATTATTTTAGTTTATCATCAAATTAGATGACTATCACTTCATATGACTTATACCTGATTGACTTGAGGTTTCACAAAACCATTCTTGATAATATGTCTCAATTGTGAGATATTAAAGTTGGACACACCGATAGCCCTGGTCAGTTTGGCGTGATAGGCATCCTCCATTCCTTGCCAAGTCTCATAGATATCGACGTCCAGGTCCAGAGTGAGTCCATTCCTGTCCACTGGGATGTACTCTCCGGTGTCTTCCCTGAATGCCATCGGGAAGTGAATGAGTGCTAAATCCAATTGTTTGAGTCCCAGTGCTGTCAACGACTCATTGATACCACGAATCACAGACGACTTCCTGTGGAATGTATTCCACACTTTGGTCGTCACGAAGAGGTCATCCCTTTTGATGACATTCTTGTCGAACAGTTCCTTCAGCTTCTGTCCAATAAATCTCTCATTTTGATAGTGATATGCGGTGTCTATGTGTCGATAACCCACTTCTATGGCCTCCTCTACAATACGTTTGGCGGTCTCCTCGTCCTGTATCTTATACGTACCCAACCCTATTTGGGGCATAAGTACCCCATTTGTCAACTGCAGTGATGGCACCTTTTGCTCTGTTTTGTATAACAATTACATTTTAAGTTGTTTTCCATTTTTATTATATATAGAATTTATATATATATATAGAATGTCTAACTTTATATATTTTTCTTAAAATTAATTCCTTTAATAAATTCTTCATAACTACTGTTATTGTATTTTATGACAATACAGTAGTTTCATTAATTGACNTTTAAATTTTTATTATTTATACATAATTTCTACGAACATATGATTAGTTATAATGAAGACAAATACAGACCTGCATTGGAAGTGCTAACAAACCACACGAGTAATGCAATTGAGATGATGGCCAGCATTATGACTGTTATGACAATCCTTAGCGTTTTCGACAACATTCACCAAAACTTTAGTAATAAAACTTCTTATCAGAAAAAACTTTATTTTTTAAATTCTGTATTTTTTATTAATTATTATTCATTTATCGTTTTCATCACAAATTTTGTCAGACATTCAGTGGTTGTGTGGATGAGTGACAGACAGTATCATAATTGGCAGTAATGTATATGCATTTTGTCAGAACTGGTTATACAATATTGAAGTCATAGACAACAAACCAGAGGTGCCCATCGTGTCTGCATCATATTTCCAAACCACCCGGCTCATCATACAACCAGTGCGTGATTGGAAATGTATCGCTAAATAGTGGGAGTTTTAAGAGCTACGCCTAAAACTATTTATATCTTATGGTAGATCCACCCTTGGAGTCACCCCTGATAGCATGCAAACAGAGATGCTGTATAGCGTAGCCAAGGTTATATTAATTTAATTAATCACTAAATTATGATCTTTTTGTTGGTTTAATATTTAATACAAACCCAGTTTGTCTCAATGTTCGCATACTTATCGTAAACATATTTATAAATCATGCAAAATAGTTGAGGATATTATTTAAAGTTTTTGTATTTTACTATAACCAAGGCCAACTGATTTGAGGAATTTTATTTGTTTTATTTTAATTAAAGATAGACAAATAGCTATTGAAGTAACTAATTATTTATATATTCATGTACTTAATTAATTAAAATAATGAAAAATGAGTTTGAATTACATTTCAAACATATTATAATCAAATTCTTTTATTAAATTTATATTTTTATTTAAATTCATAAAACTTATTGACAGCCAAAGAATTACATCAGAGATTCAAAATTGAAAATATAATAGAAAAATAAGAATATCCTTACGATTGGGAACAAGAATTTTATTTTAAAAATAATTTTAATGTCTTTAAATTAATTTCTTTTACAACATATTCTTATCATTTAATTTGGCACTAAATGAAAATATAATAGAAAAATAAGAATATCCTTACGATTGGGAACAAGAATTTTATTTTAAAAATAATGTTAATGTCTTTAAATTAATTTCTTTTACAACATATTCTTATCATTTAATTTGGCACTAAATGAGTAAATAAACAAATAAGAGTTTTAAGGAAAATTAATTTAGATTTCACTAAACAACTTCAAAAATAATCAAAATTTTCACACATACAACAATTATTTCAATTGAATACCATCAAAATGATATCTCATTGAATTCATCGACAATGTTATCTCATTTATGGCCTCATTTGAAGTCTATATGGAAAGGATATTCACGATTGTTAGCCGACTCTGGTTTCGTGAATATTCTTTTATTCAGATTCAAAGCAAATATCTTTTTCATCTCTTCATCCGTCAGTTGAAAGTCAAATACATTGAAGTTCTCAATAAGTCTTTCCTGTTTCGTTGTTTTCGGTATAATAATGATATCTCTCTGTACGAGCCATCGGAGCATCACTTGTGCGACAGACTTATTATGATTGACAGCTATTTCATTGAGAACCGTATTATTGAGGAGACCGGCGTCTGCCCGTCCCAACGGACTGTAAGCTGTGATCGCTATATTCCTAGCCTTACAAAAGTTCACCAGTTTTTCCTGCGATAGATTAGGATTCACTTCTATCTACAATACATTTAATTTAAGTCAATTAACTCAGTTTATTAGTCTCAATACAAATATTGATAATAAAATTACTCAAACAACCAAATTAAGTCAAATAATATAATTTGTTTAATATGAATAGATACCTGGTTAACCGCTGGTTTGAATTGGGTTTCCCTTAAAATGCGATCAATTTGTTCTGAATTAAAGTTTGAGAGACCGATACTTCGGGTTAATCCCATTTTGTAGACGTCCTCCATTCCCCTCCAGGTCTCCACAACACTGGTGTCCGTATCAGTGGTTGCATCCAATGTATAGTTGGGTCTTAGAATACCGGTGCCCTCTTTGTAAGCCATAGGCCAGTGAACCAAAAGTAAATCTAAATAATCTAATCCTAAATTATTGAGCGATAGTTTGACGGCATTCATAACACTATGTCTTTTATGGAAAGTACTCCAGACTTTACTCGTGATGAATAGGTCCGACCTTTTGGTCTTATTTTGTGCAAATATATCACTCAATGCCCGACCGATTATTCGTTCATTCAGGTAGACAAAGGCCGTATCAAAGTGTCGGTAACCGACATCAATAGCATCTTTGATTCTCTGGTCGAGCACCGGGAGGTCTTGCATCTGAAAAGTTCCCATTCCTATTTGGGGCATTCGGTTCCCATCCACCAACTCAATGTTTGGTACTTTTTGAACTGTCAATTTAATTACAATATAATTAATATAAAATTATTTAAGTATTAAATCTAAATAGTAAAATATTTCATTATTTGACATTTCAATAAACCCATAGTTTTGTTTATAAAATTTGATTAAAGTTTAGATTATTCTTTTGTTATAAATTCATCAATAAGATTTTAATTAACTTTTTATATAAATTAATTAAAATTGTTTAAAATTAATTATTTGCAAAACGATACTGACCTCCGATAACATTTCCATAGTTTAAGCAAATTATTAAATTCACAACAATTAATGCATACATTTTGTCGCTTATCGACAATCGTATAATCCTATTGACAATAATACAGTAATAACTGAATATAACTTCAATTAAATCGTTTTAGTAACACATTTTTATTTTTACTTTTTTCTCTAAAAAATTTCAATTTAGCTAATACTTATGTTAGATTTAAATGTGATTACACAAATTAAAAACCTTAGCCAAGGCTAAAGATATCAACAATTTGTATTTTCATTTGAAGTTTTGATTTCTAATAATAAAATTTTAAAATACATTAAAGTTTCAAAAAAAAGTTCAAGGATTGGATGCTATCATAGAATATGATAATTAGGTTTTATTTAGAAAGTCATTTCAAAAATAGTTTGAAAATGAAATAATAAATTGACAATAGATTGACATAAACTTTACAGTTGAATAATTCTACTCTATTATTTATAATATCATTATTATAAAATATTTAAGTTATTTTATAATTATCTAATTATAATTACGGTAATATTTTTTGTTATTGTAAAATAATTTTATTTTGCATAAAACAAGTTTTAAAAATCCAAAAAATTCTTCAAAATTTCAAATATAGTAAATACAGTCAATAATGTCAATATTTTTACTTATCAAACTTTTACTCAAGATTTAACAAAAATAATTATTTATTTTAATACTAAGGCAGTTTGTATTATATGTAAAAAATTGTTTATCAAATAAAGTGTAATTCATTAGCGCCGGTATGGTATGGAAAAGGGATATTCCCTGTGGTCTATAGACATGGATTGGGTAATGATTCGCCTATTTTTGTTTATCGTGAATATCTTTTTCATTTCTTCGTCCGTCAATTGGAAATCAAAAATATTTAAATTCTCTTGAAGTCTGTGTGTTTTGGATGTCTTTGGTATGGCTATGATATCTCTTTGGATAATCCAACGGAGCATCACTTGAGGGACAGTCTTGTTATTGTTTGCAGCGATTTCTGTTAGGATCGGTTCGTTTAGTATTTCTTTATCAGCCCTTCCTATGGGACTATAGGCCACCACTTCTATGCTGTTATTTTTGCAGAATTCAACCAATTTTTCTTGTGATAAATATGGATTCAATTCGACCTAAAAAATGTGTAAATTGTATTACTGTATACTGTACAAGATGATAATTATCAAAACTTAATGAAGCAGTATTATACTAAGTTATAGTAAAGCTAAGATAAAGTAATTTAAAATTAAAAATCATATTTTATAAAGTTAATGGACCTTTTAACCTTCAAAATACTATCTCTTAAATTTTAGACAAAGAATATTTTAAGGTTTTCATGACATCATTTAGTAATGTCTAATCGGACACATGTCTCAAATCGTAAATTAATTAATTACCATTTGGTAAAGTACCAATTCATTTATATTCCTGGAATACAAGTCTTATTACTACAGTACTACAGACTAATCAATATTCAATTACAATAAATCATTAAAAATTAAACTCAGTTATCACTCATTAATACCTGATTGACAGCCGGTTTAATAAATGATTCCTTTAACACGCGACCCAATTGCTCGGAATTAAAGTTTGAAACCCCGATACTTTTGGTCAGACCTAGTTTATAGGCGTCTTCCATCCCTTTCCACGTCTCGACAACACTTATGTCAACATTTTGTGTCTTATTATTCTGATCCAAAGGTCTGAGAGATCCGGTGCCACTTCTCCAGGCCACCGGCCAGTGAACTAATGCCAGATCCAAGTACTCGATGCCCAACATATTCAACGACAACTTCATGGCCTCAACCACTTGTGACCTTTTGTGATATGTGTTCCACACTTTGCTTGTGATGAACAGGTCCTCCCGTTTAGTCTTATTGGACTCAAACATCTTTTTCAAAGTTCTTCCGATAAGCTCTTCATTTTCATAGACATAAGCCGTATCTATATGTCTGTAACCAATATCAAAGGCATCGTTAATAACACGGTCCATGACTTCTTGCTGATCGGTCAGAGCATAGGTACCCAACCCTATAATTGGGATTTTGCGGCCGTCCACCAGATTTATGGATGGAATTTGTGCTAATTTTTAAATCAAATTTTAAATTAGTTTTAAGGTATTTATGAAAATTAAAGCAATAGACAACTGACCCGCATATGTTTGACATGACAATAGTGTTATTATTAATATTTTTGACCACATTTTAAATTATCTGCCACTTTCAAACTCAATAACTACTTTTTAAGAGACTTTTGAAAAATACTAAATACTGTATAACTGAAAGCGAATCTCAAAAGTAAATAATAAAATTTATTTCGAAAAAAATTCCGGTATTCCAGTGTCTCTCAAATGCTGTGATTTTAATTCATAAATAACTGGTTTTATTAGACTTGAAGGCTGTCTAGTATTGGATATGAAATTTAGTAGAAATTTAATAGTAATCTAAATAAAGAACTGACTATCCTTTTATAATCAACTTTTCATTATATTAATTGCAAATAAATAATAGGAGTTAATTAATAAATAAAATTACGTTGCCTAACTGCCTAAATAATTTTTTAAATTATGCAAAGTATAACATGTAATTTATTAAATTCAATATAAAATAAATACAATTCATCATTAGTATTTGACAAGCATTTAACTACAGAATAAATCAATTAACCTTTTATAAAATAAAACTTTGAAAGTGGAAAGTTTTCATATTCAAAATAAATATCATCCACTTGTATTGCTTTATTAAACTGTTAAAAAACAGTGGTTTGAAATTGAATTAATTTTTTATTTAATATTAATGCAGTCAATATACTGTATATATTTTAAAAGATATATGGTTGTTTCTGAATCAAAGTGTAGTTCATTAGCGCCGGTATGGTATAGCAAATGGATATTCCCTATGATCTACAGACATATCTACAGTTATAATTCTCTTATTTTTGTTTAACGCAAATATTTTTCCCATTTCTTCATCAGTTAATTGAAAATCAAAAATATTTATATTTTCTTGAAGTCTGTGTGTTTTGGATGTCTTTGGTATGGCTATGATATCTCTTTGGATAATCCAACGGAGCATCACTTGAGGGACAGTCTTGTTATTGTTTGCAGCGATTTCTGTTAGAATCGGATCATTCAGTATTTCTTTATCAGCCCTTCCAATGGGACAGTAGGCGACCACTTCAATGCTATTATTTTTGCAGAATTCAACCAATTTTTCTTGTGTTAAATATGGATTTAATTCAATCTATAAGCATAAGAATCATATTTAAATATTTAATATTTTTTATACACATGAAAGCTATATTTTAAAACTGAAAGTCAAATGGAATAAACCTTATGGATCTCCTAACCTTAGAAACCTTCAAAATAAGTTATTTAACATAAAGAATATTTTAAGATTTTCATGACATCATTCAATAATGTCTTATCGGACATTATTCAAAAAAAATCTAATAGCTATTTGGTAAAGTACCAACTAATTTATATTCCTGACATACTATAAACTCTTATTATGTTCAATTATAATAATACAGCAAATTATAAACTCAACGTTCAGTTATGTTTCATAATTACCTGATTGACCGTCGGTTTTATAAATGACTCCTTTAATACTCGACCCAATTGTTGGGAATTAAAATTTGAAACCCCGATACTTTTAGCCAGACCTAGTTTGTAGGCATCCTCCATCCCTTTCCACGTCTCGATAATACTTATGTCAATATTTAGTGTCTTATTATTTTCATCCAACTGTCGCAGTAAACCAGTGCCTCCTCTGAAAGCCATTGGCCAGTGAACTAATGCCAGATCCAAGTACTCAATGCCTAATGTATTTAAAGATAACTTCATGGCCTCAACCACTTGTGACCTCTTGTGATACGTGTTCCACACTTTGCTTGTGATGAACAGTTCCTCCCGTTTAGTCTTATTTGACTCAAACATTGGTCGCAAAGATTTTCCAATAAGTTCTTCATTTTGATAGACATAAGCCGTGTCTATATGTCGGTAACCAATATCGATGGCATCGTTGAGAATACGATCCATGATCTCCTGTTCCGTTATACCTGCCGTTCCCAACCCTATAATCGGAATTTTGCGGCCGTCCACCAGATTTATGGACGGAATTTGTGCTAAGTTTTCATATTTAAAATGTAAATAAAATT